TCGGAGATTTAGATTTTATATTAATTATATATTTCAATAAACAATTGTATATATTGTTTAAAATCTTTAAAATTGTCAGAGAATCGAAAAATCTGCTAAAATCGCCGATTTTTTGCAATTTCGAATGACATCGTGATCTGCAGATGTCACACTTTATTGCAAAGCGCCATAACAATATGTAATAATAGATCCAAAATTATGTTCAAATAAATAATCAGAATCATAATCTTCCAGAAGAGCATTAAAAATAAAATCTACAAGGTTTTCTTGATTGGTTCTTATAATATTTTTTCAATTTTCATTCTTTTTTCGTTTATTATTAGTGGAAATTTAGTTATGACAATCAATGCATGCTTTTAGAATATTGTGCATATTGGATTTTATGCTTTTAAAAGAGTCATTTGGTTTGTTAAGACTGCAACGATCGCATTTAATTTTTGAAGAATCGAAGAAAAGATCACTTGCTAAATCAATTAATATTTTTACTAAATATCATAATGATTCAAATCACGATGAATTGATACCATCACGTGAACTTCGAAACTTTTTTGGGTGGCGGTCCAAATTCACGGCTAATGGAGACCATCAAAAATCTAGACCAAATAAAACTTTACATATGTATAACGCGGACCAAGATTTTGTCGAGACGGTTGTGTTTTTAAATTATTGATAGGGTTGGCAAATTACCGGTACGTTCCATAAGTTTTCAGAAATCAAATTACATTTAATTTTGGTCATGTGAACAATGTTGGTCAAGATTTCATAGAGCTGGCATGCAAATAAATAGTTCCGAACGTATTAATAGATAATTATGATATGAAATTTTAATTTTTTGGGGATGTTTTTTTACCGTTTTTTTTTAGGGTTAGATTAGGATTTAGGGCTAGAATGAATAATTAAAAAGCATATCGATATGTGGATTTTATATTTTAAAATTGAGACCCTAGATTTCAGCATCATCTGATTTCACGATCATCCGCGACAAATAATAATACGGCCCAAACTTTCATGATTTTGGTGCAAAAATCAAGTGCCAGTACACCATTAATGTAAAGTTACGTTACAATTTTTGTGTAAATTTCAATACAATTTATTTGTAAATGCAAAATGTAATTATGTAATGCCAACCATAATTATTGACTAAACGTTGTTTCATAGTTTCGGGCCAAATTATTTTAATGCTAAATGGTAAAACGGATATACGGTTTTAACTTTGTACCATTCATATTGATATTAACTAATATAGTACAGTACAAAAATATATGCAATACTAAATATATACTTAGGTTAAAACTATTATCACACAAACTAGATTATTTTACCACCCTCCGAAAGGATATTTAACCAATATCAACATTAGAAACCGCATCAACTTCAGCATATGAAGGCACCTGAGGATTCGATTGACGTGATAGTATATTTTGAGAATTCAATGCGGCATCACTATGAGCAGATACGGAAACTGGAGATTGTCTTTTCTCATCATTTAGTTTAACACCTTTCGGAATAAAATTTCTCTTATTATTGTAAGTATATCTAATAGCATTAGTGTTAACATTTAAATTTAGATTCCGTTTTTGTGGATTACTTTCAAGTTGATGAGCATTAACTGAACATGTGAGTTTAGATGATAGTGTATCTAAAAGTATAAGTGTTAATAATAATGATAATACGAACACATTTTTTAAAGAAAGTAAAGACATAGGGTTAAAATTTTTCGTTATGAAAATTGTATAATCAATAGAGTGGAATCAAATTTATGAAAGTTAATTATTAAAACGTTAATAGATAAACAGCTCTGTTAGATGGACGTACAGTCATACGAGCGACTTTTTTATATAATTTCCAAGATAATATAACAAGAAATTTATTTAATTAATATGCTATATAGAAAAGCAATAAAATAAATATTATTTAAAAAGATACATGATTTATTTATCAATTACGAGACACTTGATCATCTGACAATATAATCAATCGCAATTTGTACATATCATAAAAAAAAAAACAATATACACACGACAAACACCGTGGTAATTATTGCTATTTATTAAATCAAAGAAAAAATAAAAGATAAAAAAAAAATATAATAATAATAATAAAAAAAGATAAGTAAAATCAAGGAAAAATATACGAAAAATATACGAAAAGAACTATAAAAAAAAAAAAAAACTGTACAATAACAATCAATAACATGAGATGCTAAAAAAGTAATCAGAGTAATAAGAGAAACAACTAAATAGATTATTTCTTAATGACCTTAAAGACTTCATATTCAGAAACGGAAAATTTTCGGTGTTTTGTAATCAAAGTTTCGTAATCGTCTTCTTTAGAACTACAACTATCAGGCTGACTAAAATCACCTTGCATCCAAAGATCTTTATCTCCAAAGCAAGGACCATGACTTTCATCCTTCATGGTGATAGCATAATTATACCTGCTAACCCTACTAATTTTTGCATCTTCCAATCGATTTCTATTTCCAAATGAAAATAGAAAACTATCTCTTGTTTCCAAATGTCCAGAACCAGTTTGCCACCTGATAGGATTATATCCACCAATAATTTCAGAAGAAGCGGCAACCTTCATTACAACAAAGGTAGGACCTTGATTATCACATCTTTGATGAAATGTTTGAGAATCAAAACCATCACGAGTTCCACGAATTAATAATTTAAATTTATAAGGAATGTCAGCACCGATATAAGTAGAAATGTCATTCTTATCAATCCAATCAGCAATTTTTGACATTTGTTGATGGGCTATTAAAACCGAATTTCCTCTTGGAGCATTTGTACCGAAAGTAGGTCGACTACCAACTTTCAAATGACATCTTACTATATCATCTTCTAATTCCGGAGGTAGAATGGCTCTAAATGGCCAAACTCTATCATAGAGATCACTACCAGACATTTGAAAGAATCTAATTAATGGTAAACATTCGGAAAGTGTTGAAGCTAAAGCAGCAAAATCATCAGAAGACCAATCACGAATGTTTGTAAATTGTAAATTAGGATTAATTTGAGCCATTCCCCATTTGAGAACCTGATCCCAAACCTCATCCTCAGCCATATCCAAATCATCACGTTGAAGTATGGGTAGTATCAAAGATTCATCAACCTTTAGGAAGTCGGGTGATTTAAATAATAATTCAGGATCCGAAGAAATTGTAGCTAAAATAAATTCTTGTAAAATAGAACAAGAATCATGCGATAATGTTGTTTGATAGACCTTTAAGATATAAGAATGTAACCACTCCGATTTTGTTTCTATTAAATGATCTTGAATGAAATCCAATAGATCTGTGAGTAATAATTCATCGGCAGCTGCTAATATTTCTAGCACTTCCATTATATCTCTATCATTCAAAGTAATCGTTCCACTATATATATAACTTAAAAAAATTTATTTATATAATATATATATATATATATATATTTTATATGTCAATAATTTTGTTTTTTTTTTTTTTTACATTTAGTTAGTTAATTAAAGATGTTAAAAACTTACTTGAGAATGATTTCGAAAACCTTTGGAGTAACATTAGGTTGTCGTAAAACGCTAGAATCACCTTCTTTCTTGGCCCATTGTTTGGATAAAGCAGTTTTATAGTAACTACACCTAGCCCTTAAGATCAACGAATGAGCCTGAAACGTTTTCACGTTTTCGCCTTTTCCAACATGAATTATCACATTATATTCATCGCTATCGTTTAATAAATTTATAATTTCTTGAGAGAAAACAGACAGTAATTTAACGGCCATTTTTTTTTTTTTTTGTGAACTATTATTTGACTATTGTTGATCGATTTTTTTTTTCTTTTTTTTTTTTGGTGAAAGTCAAAAATTAGTTATCAAGAAATATATTGGTACGTAAATTTATATATACAATATAACATATATTTACTAACACTACGGTATTTAATACACTATTTACATGTAGTTTGATGACCTATTTCAAATAACCAAAAAGATATATGTACATGAATGCGATAATTCAAAGTAATTTCGTTTATGAAACAAGGAAAGGAAAGAAGGCACCCTTTTTTGTTTTATTGGTTCGAATATTTATATCTTTCATAGGTTTTACGAACTATTTTTGCATGCCTCAATGTTTATTAATATGTTTGTAATGCATATCGATAACTAAGAATATCTGCTAAAAAAGCTAAATTATTTTACATTACGTATATGCTCCTGGTAATGAATAAAGTTTCACCACCCGAGGATAATATATTAAATATCAACTAATTGTAACCCGTTTATCATAAATAAAGAGTGACCGACCATAAGGTCGTACGTACTTATGTTAGAATACGAAAGAATTAATAAATTATCATTATTGTTACACGATTAGACTTAACAAATTTCTTAAGTACTAGATCAATCTTTACATCCCATGATAAATCGATCTCTATTACATACTATGTACTGCATGATTTACCATTCTCCCTATGACAACTTATCTACAAGCAGAAATATTGTTTGCCATTTGTACTTGGGACATGTGATATTCGGAATTTTTTAAATTCTTCCATTTTGATAGTAAGATAAAGTTTTTTTTCCCGTAATGTACGTACTCATGTATATATTCTATATATATTCTATATCATTGATGTAATTACACATATCTTTAAAAAAATGGAGAGATCTAAATCAATTCCTTGAAGGGAAATTATCATTTCTTTTTTGGCATTATTAACTTACGTAATTCGGCTTCCATATGTATAAGAAGAAATTCATTATCGTACAATCGTAAATCTTTTAATTTTTTCATATATCGTAAAATAAGATACCGGTCACCCGAGTTTACCGGTTTATTACTCCCTAAGTTGGAAAATAAATATATGATTACAATCAAATACGTATTATTAATTTCAAAAGATTGAAAATTGTCCTTTTCGAAAATGAACTGTCACAAAATAAGAACTGTCACAAAATAAGAACTTAAACATCAAACTGTACCTATCATGTTTATCATGTGTAACATTTGTTATTATTACATAATTTGCTTAGTGTAACGGCAATCTATGTAATAGTTATATCCTGGACAGTTGGGTATAAGTGGAATTTTGCAGTAAGTATAATCGGCCGCGTAAGCGACCGATTATACTTTACTGCAAAATTTCGCTTATATCCAACTGTCCAGGATATAACTGATTTATCCCCTGCCATCTATGTAACATAACTTTCATGCACTTATTTTAGAGCGAAACCTTTATTTTACGCATTGTTCTTGACATTTAAGATTAAATAGGATAATACTCAATTACCTAAATTAAATAGATATATGTCTAGTAGAAATGAGTACATGAAAAAAGTTAGATGGGATTGGCCAGGGGATAAAATTGGGTATGTACGTACATAGCTTCGCAAAACCAGAAACATGGAACGCACTTTGTGTCATCTTATATTACTCTGCTTTTAGTATTCACCGAATATAATTAAGACCTGGAAGAACTATCACGTGCCACTTCGGTAGCTTATCATTAGAAAAGACAATTATACCGCCTATAGTACCCAAGGTCTTATTCAACCCTTTCACTTTTTAAATTGATTAATACTCGTGGGTAGTATGTACTATATTTGGTAACAATTTAGATGAAAATAGCAAACTAATATTTGATGGACAATACCCGAGTATTAATCATGAATGGTATTATCATATCATATCGGCGAATCTACGCAGTCTAATAAATAAAGGAATCCATCAATGAAGGAACCCATCAGTTATATAAGCAAAGGAACCCATCAGTTGTATAAGCAAAGGAACCTATCAGTTATATAAATAAAGGATCCCATCAGTTATAATTCGTCGATCATTTAACCAGATGATAGATAAGTTTTTTTTATTTATTAGACTATAATACAAGCTTAAGGATCAGATACAGGTATGTAAACCGATAATAAAAGATAATTATAATACGACAGAATAAAACTTATATTGATTTGTTATATTACATAAAATTTCTACAATAGCAATACGTATAAAATTTATATTCATATGTTGTACCCCAGAGTGGAATCGTTCCGATTCAGAATCGGGCTGCCCTGGATGGAAATCTTATGAATTGTTTTGGCAGAATTAAGATTTAAGGGTTAACGTTGGGTTATAATTAGGGTTTATAAATAAAAAGGTATTTATTTTGGCTAGTATAATTCGGGCAAAAATTACAAAATTCTCACCCGATTTTGAATCGGAACAGATTTCCAATTCGAAGTACAACATATATAACCTATATTTATTTATTTTTATTTTATTTTTTATATTAAAGTGATCTCTTTAGTTTTTGATTTTATTAACATTTATTTGAGTAATGTGTTTACATAAAACTACTATAGAACCAGGTCAGTTGTAAAAATGAGTACAGAAGGTTTACCTTAAAGATAAATTAGTTTTAAGGTTAAGATAATGACCTGAGCTTGGTCCAGTAATGTTAACACAGGTTGCAGGTTCAGAGAGTTTAAAGTAAAACATCCAAACAGGGATGTTAGGTATGACAATTGGTGGGAAACTTTTAAGTAGATTCTTTAAATAGATAATATAGAAAAGTTACACATATAATCAATTGTACATTTTCTTATAATGATTTACTAAAGTATATTATCAAAAAAGTTAGTAATAAAAATTAAAAAATCAAAGAAATCATTTTAATATCAAAAAAATAAAATAAATAAAACTATTATAAAAAGAATATATAACTAGTTATATATATAATTTTTTTATATTACTTATTTAAGAAGTTTGTTTAAAGATTTTTTACTAATTATTATATCTAACATTTCTACTTGGATGTTTTATTTTAAATCTTTTAATTTTGTATTTTTGTATTAACTTCATAAATCATTTAAATACTTAGTTTAAATCCTTGTTTTAATTTTAGAATTAATTTATCTTTGAAATAAACCTTCTAAAACTTCTATATTTTTATTTACACTTGACTTAATATTATTATAATTAAGATCAATACTTGTAATCAAAGTTAATTATTAAATTGTTATATTCTTATAAAGTTTATACAATCTTAGTATTCTTTTTTATTATCTTATTAATATCATGTTTAATTTTACAAGTTTTTTTATATTATCAATTTAGTAAATTTTATATAATATAATTTCATATTTAGATTAATTGATAATTAGGTTGGTAAATCTCTTTTACTACTTTTCTAATTAAAATTTTAAATAGAACTTCTTAATATATATTTTTCAGATTTATTTATATAATATTATATATTTTTCAGATTTATTTATATAATATTATATATTTTTAAAATAAACTTTGATATAATTATAAAGTTATAATTTCAAATATCTTATTCAAGTTACCAAAATAGAATTATTTTTTCAAAATTTTATTATTAATAAAATTTAAAATTTAGATCTATTACTTGATAAATAACAATTTAATTAATATACAGTATTAAAATTATTATTTTTTCTTTCTTTTTATATATAATTTAATTTATTATATATATATATATAAATTTAAACAGATTATATATATTTATTTTATTTGTTATTTTATTTTTATTTTATTTTTTTTAACTTTAGCAACCTTGCCATTCATCTTTATTAAGTATTTAATATACATTTAGTATATACAGTTATGTTTAAATTTTGGTTCGACATTCTTCAGTTATTTCAAAAATACTCAGAGATGGTCTGCCACACTAGTTAAAAAATTATTTGAATCCAAGAGCTATACCAAGCTTACCTTTAAGATTATAAAAAAAGGGTCTTATATTATTATTAACAAAATTTCTAACTAATTCTAGACATAACTCTTGTATTCTATTACTATTTTCCTTTTTTTCTTTATCTTCTCTTTCTTCTGAACTAGGTTTTGCTTATTTAATTTTATTACTCTTGTTTCTTTTGGTGTACTTGTTTTTGCAAATAGTTGTTTTTTATATTTTCTTTTTTTTTAGATTTATTTCTAGTTCTTTCTTCCAAATAACAACTGCTTCATATCATTTCTTCTATATATTCTTATAAAGTCATTCCATGCTGTATTTACTAATATTCACAAAAAACCTTTTGCTTCTGTCAGTATTTGTATTAGTTCTTGAATTATTTTTGTAGCTTTTTCATAAATTAATCTCTTAATTATTTTATATCTATTCTTTTTTTTTTTCTCTTTGATTCTTCTTCATATTATTTTCTTTATCTAAGTTCTTTTGTGATTCTTTTGTTAGTGCTGACTATATCAGTTTAATTGAAATTTTTTCTATATTTTGTTAACTTCTTTCATAATTATTACATATTACTAAATGCTCTTGGTCTTCTTCTTTTCCTTCATTACACAGAATACAACATGGACTTGTATAAAGATTTAGACATTACTCTGCTAATGTCTTTAGTAAAGATAATTTTTTACTCAAACACTTGATTAGTGTTTTGATTTGCTTGTTCCTTTTCATATTTGTACATTTTATTTCATTCTAATCTTTAATTTTCCTTCACAAAAGTGGCCAATTGTGCTCTTCTGTCTTATTGTTTGGTTCTAGCTTTTTTATAACTAATAAAAATCTCCATTTTGTATCTATTTTAAGATTGAAAACATCTTTTAAAAATTGTCTTATTGGAGCTTCTTTTGCATTATCTTTTCAATATATTGAAACATTTACACATTGTAGTGTTCTTTTAATTATTTTATTTTTATTTTCTAAGTTACTATCTAATTTCACTAAACTATCTGCTAAATTATTTCATCTATTATCATTATAATCTTTAACTTTGACTAATTCTAGTTACAAATCTTTGAGATTTATAATTTTTATTATACTTCTTTTTATGTTATTGTTCTTTTTTTTAAACTATTATTTGTTGGTCTTAATTTTTAGTCCTTTATTTATTCCTGCTATTACTATTATGCTATTTGTGTATACTTTAATTTTACTATTTCTAGGTATAATTAAAAGAATTCAAATTGACAACAGTTCTGGCTTGGTTAATGATGACCAGTTTTGCACTTCAAAGTAACCTTTATCAGGTTTTATTTTTTTTTTCTTGTCTACTTGTACCCAACCAGCATTATTTTGTTGTCTTTAATTCTTTTTTTTCAAACTAGATCTTTTAAAAAAACTATCTGTATAAAAAAACAAATTTGTATAGTCTTTTATTTGGTTTTTGAATAATTTGTTATTCAGTTCTTTTTTTAACTTATTGCTTATATTTTGCTTTTGAATTAGCTCTTCTTTTTATGTATAGCATACTATCTTTTAAACTTGATTCTCTTTTATTATTGATTTCTCATATTTATGATTTTTTTTTATATTAATCTTTTCTTTTTAATTTCTAATCTCTAATTTTCATCTCTAATTTTTATCTTTTCTTTTCATCAGGTTTGTCAAAACTTCTAATACCTCTAATTTGTTATTTCATTTTTTGTGTTTATTTGGTTCTTTTTCTTTGTTTATCTTGCAATCTTTACATTTTTTAAATACTAATCTTGGATTAATTTTTTTGCTCTATATTCTAATGCTCTGTAAAGATCTTTTTGTATTCATTTATAAGAGTTTTTTCAATTACAAGATTTTCTTTTCTCTTTTGGATATTTTAGTATGACTCAGTCTTTTCTTCTTTTATCTTCAGATAATTTTGCTAAACTAATCTTCAAGACATCTATATTTGGTATTTGTATATTAAAAATTAGCTTTACTTTTCTTGTTTCGATATTTTTAATTATTTTTTTTTTCTATTCTTTTAAACCATTTAACTACTTTTTCTTTATTTGAGCTTTTTCTTAGTACTTTGAGTTATTGTCATATAATCATTTGATCATCAGTTTTGTTGATCAACTATTTTGTATAAAAAATGTTCAG